CTCTAGATGCCAGTAGCACTTCTCTCCCCCTTCAGTTGTGACAACGAAAACCATCTCCAGATATGGTCAGAAGTGCCCGAGGTGCTGCAGGTCCAAGGTGGCAACATTCCAGGGGTACCCACAAAGATCACCAGTAATTTCATGAACCTCCTGGGGTGGGCACAGGTTGAAGAGGTACTGGACTAGGTGGTCCACTCTCTGTGCCCACATCCCAAATGTTGTATCAGCTGTCTGCTTGCAGCTTTTACATTCAGCATCAGGGACAGGTGTGGCGGTGAAGTGCATATTCATATTGAATCTCGTATTGAAGTGCATAGGTTCGATACCCAGCTCCAGCTCCTGACTCTGCCTCCCTAATAATGTGCACTTTTGGAGGCAGCAGGTGATTGCTCAAAGAGTTGGGTTCCCTGCCACCCATATGGGAGACCTGGATTGTATTGCCAGCATCCAGCTGTGGCCCCAGCTCAGCCCCTGCTACTGTGGGCATCGGGGAAGTAAACCGGTATATGGAAGCTTTCTCTCTGTTTCTCAAATAAATAAATTTAAATTAAAAAAATCAATTTAGCATCAGCTACTTGTAGAGAAGAAGGACTGGAAGACACCAATCCAGGAATCCTCCAGGAATGCTTTGCCCTCTGGGTCTGAGTGAATGGTGCCATTTGCAGTGCCCTGCCTGCTGGGGCAGAGGCCCTGAGTGGAGTGGGGATTTTCCACTTTCTGCTCGGCTGGGTCAGGATGAGATCTTGAGACTCTAAGCCCTGAAAACCGCAGAGCCTCACACCCTATGTCATTCAAGATAATATCAATTTTCTACTGAAAATTCCAGTGCTCATTGAGATTTCTCAATAGTTAATTTGGTATTATTGCTGAAATGTCAAGTTCTCGTCAAAAATATTTTTTTCTCTCTTTTATTTGAAGTGGAGGTAGAGGGGAGGGACCCACCTGCTTCTGGGGTGCCTGGAGCACACACCTGCTTTGCCAGTTAAACGGCCACTCTATACTTCCCCTTCTCCCACAGTACTTCCCTGGCACCCACAGATCTGCATTTGCTCTCTATCCTGTATATTTCATAAGGATAATCTACACTGTGTGATCTGTTACATCTAGCTTCTTTCATGTAGCATTTTTTTTAATGTTTATTTATTTGCTTGAGAGACAGAGAGCTTGCATCCACTGGTTCACTCTCCAAATGACCATGATGGCCAGGACAGGGCTGAGGCCGAAGCCAGGATCTGGGAGCTCAATCCAGGTCTCCCGTATGGGTGGTAGGGACTTAATTACTTAGTCACCCACTGCCTTCCTAGGTTAGCAGGATGCTGGAAGCCAGAGCCACAGCTGGGAGTCGGATGTGGGATCCAGATGTCTTAACCACTAGCCCAAATGATAGCCGCAACTTAGTATGTTTTTGAGGTTCCTCTGCATTGTAGTCTCCTTCTTTTTGTCACTAGTGTCACTATGTTGTATAGATTGGCCATGTTTTCTTCATCCATGTGTTGATGGACATTTGGGATGTTTCCACTCTGGGGCTATGTGAGAATGCTGTTATGGACATTCAAGTCTAAGTTTATGTTTGCTCTTCTCTTGGGTGTATAGCTAGGGGTGGACTCGTTGGCTCCCATGGCGGCTCTGTGTAACCTTTGGGGGAACTGCCACACTGCTTACCACGCTGGCTGTACCACTTGCCATTCCCACCAGCCCCACACAGCAGTTCCGATTTCTCCGCTTCCTCACCAACACTCATTATTTCCTGATTGTGTGTGTGTGTTTCTTTTTATTGTGGTCATTCGAGTGGCTGCACAGCCCCCGAAATTTTGATTTGTTTTCCTGTCTTCCCTTCTATCCCTTCAAAAACTGAATTTCTTGACATCTGCGACTGTGCCTTCATCACCAGCAATGTGGTGTGAGAGCATGGGGCGGCTGCGTCAAAATCCTCTTATTAGAGTTGTGATATGATCTCAAACCATCTCCCAGTGTCTGTAAGCCTAGATTCCCACCCCTGTGAGATGGAAACCCCTGGAGTGTCTGGACGGATAAGATGAGAGTCAGCCTTCTTGTGCCTGGGATGGGGCCCACAGTGGCCTGTGGAGATTTCTCAGTGTAGGTTTGCAGTAAGGGTCATGATGTCCCCGGTACCCAGGATCCAGTAAGGATGAATGTCTGTTATGAGAATCAGCTCGCCCATCAATACTGCTCAATCAGCCCTCTCTTTATTTTCTACCATCTGTTCCCCAACTCCAGACTTGCAAATTGATCACTCTCAAGATGAGGCAGAGAGAGTGGCCGGATCAATGGGAAGGCTTTGCTGGAAAAATACAACGGGAAAGCCATTGTGTTGGGTGGGTGGGTGGGTGGGTGGGCGGCAAGGGCAGTGAGCTCGCAGCCCACAGAGGGAAGGAAGGAAGGAGCTTGGCTTTTCTCCGATGGAATCATTCTGGGGAAGGACTCCAGGGAGCTGATCCATGGTGTGGGGGAGGGGAACAGCAGCTCTGTCCACTCTTGAAGGTTACAGGGAGGACATCGGGGGTTCAGGGCCCAGGAGGTGCCCTTGCCTGCCTTCTGCAATTCCCGTGAGACGCTGGGTTCCAGCAGACTCCCACCCCGGGGCAGCCCCTGGGCATCCTCCTTTGGCTCCCGTGGACGTGTCTAGAACCTCCTGCTGCACTCCAGCCACACTGGCCTTGCTTCTGCTGATTCCTCCTGCCTTGCACTGGCTGCCCCCTCTGCCTGTGTGTCCCCTCCCCATTTCCCAAGGTTTCTGCTTCACTCTGTGCACAGCTCACCTCTCACCCACTAGCTGTGCCCTACCACTCACCCCTCCCACCCTCTCTAATTGTCCTGCTTTCCTTTTTAATGCATGTTTTAAGTTTCAAATGCAGTCATCCCTCAACAACCTCAGGGGATTGGTCCAGGGACTCCCCAGGTCACCACCAAGAACACCAAATCTGAGGAAGCACCAGTCCCTTAAAGGGGTGATGTTTGCATAGAATCAGTGCACACCTTTCTGTAGACGTTCTGTTTTCTTTCCAGAACCGTGTTTTATATCAGGTCTATAGGTGAGTAGGCCAGGAGTTAACAGTCTGAGACAAGTGACTAGGAGTCCCGATTCTAACACTAGAAAAGTCTGGATGCATGTGTTTGCTTCCTATAACCTGTTTCCCGTGGAAATGGGATCGATAAGCCCAACCACATTTCTCCTGCGTGATCTCTCTTTTGCTCACTGTCCTCTGAACATTAAGTTGGATCATTATTGTTACGGGGAATGACAAAGGCCATCTCAGTTCTCGTCTCCCGTGGAAGGATTTCCACATGGACAGGAGCTTCTGTAGACTGTAATCATCTCCAGATGTGTTATTTTTTTTTTTAAGATTTATTTGTTTATTTGAAAGTCAGAGTTATACAGAGAGAAGAGAGGCAGAGAGAGAGAGGTCTTCCACCTGATGGTTCACTCCCCAATTGGTCACAACAGCTGGAGCTGCGCCGATCCGAAGCCAGGAGCCAGGAGCTTCTTCCGAGTCTCCCGCATGGGTGCAGGGGCCCAAGGACTTGGGCCATCTTCTACTGCTTTCCCAGGCCATAGCAGAGAGCTGGATTGGAAGTGGAGTATGCGGGACTAGAACCAGCGCCCTTATGGGATGCCGGCACTGCAGGCCAGGGCTTTATCCCACTGCGCCACAGCACCGGCCCCTCCAGATGTGTAATAACACCTGATACCCTGTAACTGCCACGTAAATCCTTGTTACACTTATTGTTTAGGGAAAGATGGCAAGACAACCGGTCTGCACTTGTTCAGTATGGGTGTGATTTCTTCTTCAAATGCTTTGAATCTGTGGTGCTTGGTGTTTGTGGATGCAGAACCTGCAGAGAGGGAGGGCTGACTGTATGTTCTATGTAAGATATTTTTTAAAGATTTATTTATTTACTTGAAAGGCAGAGTAATAGAAAGATTTTCCATCTGCCTATTCACTCCAAATGGCCACAATGGCCAGGGCTGGGCCATACTGAAGCCAGGAGCCCAGAAACTCCATCCTGGTCTCCCATGTGAGTGTCGGAGGCCCAAGGACTTAGGTCATCTTTTACTGATTTACCCTGGCACATTAGCAGGGAGCTGGAATGGAATCAGAGCAGCCGGGACTCAAACAAAACTGACATCACGTTTAGAACCTATTTTTAAATATTCGGCCAACATTTTTTTTTACAAATACAGGTATGTGTGAAACATCGTTGGGCAAAATGGTGATAATGCTCACAGCTGAGTGACGGCGATGTGGGGAGATGTTACGCTGGCAAATCTGTATAATTTCAATCATTTTTTGAAAAGGAGCAGATGGTAGGGAGGGCAGCTGCTCTTGTCTAGGAACTTGGCAGTGTGGAGTCGTGCACTTGTGCTCGTGTGGATTTTCTGCAAGCGTGGGAGTGTTGACATCAGGGGCCTTGGTCAGTGCTTTCCAACAAGTCCTGCCATGACGGGCTAGAAGCGTAGGCTCTGTCGTGGGCTGTGTGTCGAGAACAGAGTTCTTACCCAGAGACTGACTTTGCAGGGTGTTCCGCCTGCTGGGGATCCCACAGCATAGTGGTCTGAGCACCTGGAGTCAGCCTCACTGGCGCCAATGGCCAGCTCTGCCTCTTTCCAGATGGATGACCTTGGACATGTTATTTAAAGCATTCTGAGCTTAGTTTTCTTGCCTGTTAAATGGGGTTAATACTTAATATGAAGATTAAATTAATCAATCACATATCAAGTACTTAGCATAGAACATGGCATATTGCACTTATTTTTTTATTACGGCTGCTTTGGCTGTTGCTGTTAAACATTGTAAGAGCAGAAAAAAGTTTCTGAGCTAGATGGATGAAGATAATTGGAGGCAGAGGCTAAAAGAAGAAGAGGAGGCACCCCTGTCAGCTGATCTCCCTACCAGCTGTTCATTTGTGAGCTGCACGAGGGGTACAGAGGGCACAAAAGAACAGGAAAAGTTGTTCCTGAACATCTCCTCTCCCCGCAGAACGAGGTGGAGCTGGGGGAGCTGCTCCTGTCTCTGAATTACCTCCCGAGTGCTGGGCGACTGAATGTTGATGTCATTCGAGCCAAGCAGCTTCTTCAGACGGATGTGAGCCAAGGGTCAGGTACAGTGCCATCCCCTGCCCTCCACGTCGTGAATGGGGCACCTGCGTGTGTTCAGTGGACTGCATCCTGGGTACCACTGATGATACCTTGGGTGGTGCACAGCATCCAGAACTAGGCTGCCGGCTCAAGAGAGAAAATAAGTCCTTAGGTGATTCTTAGGGTGAAGCAGGAACCCGGTTTGAATTGGTGGGGTTGACTGGGACCAGGTGTGCTACCGAAAACCTAGAGTCGGAGGAAGTTCCTTTTGCCTTTCCAAACACTGTGCCTGCAATAAAGACAGTGTGCTCCAGGTGGCGATAGTGTGCAGAGACGGCATGGCGGCCCACACACAAGCCTGGAGGTTTGTTCACAGCCCACTTCATATGTGCCATGAACCTTTGTAAATCCTAGCTCTGAAATGACTATTGTATTTAGTGTCTGCTTTATAGAAAAACCAATTCCAACGTGACTTTTAATGAAACAGAGCAGATTCCGTTCCATCTGGAGATATTGTTGTGAAAGCAGCCATGGTCCCTGGATCCCTTCTGCTGCCTTTTCTAAGTACAATAGCAAAAATAAATTACTTTTCTATAAGGTGACAGCTGAAGCTAGAAGATACCTCACAGTCTCAAAAGCCACATTACAAAAATAGAGGTTTCCGAGGGACCACTGGCAGGAATGTATCAAGGCTGGAGAATTCCAGACGCGCCACAATAGAGGAGTCAGTTTGATAAAATGATTAAGGCTTCTGATGTCAGCCTGCCTGGAACAAAATCTCAGTTTCACAGCTTGCAAATAATGTGGCCTTAGAGAAGTTATTTTACCCCAGGATGCCTCCCTGTGCCTCAACTTTGCCATCTCAGAAATGGACACATTAATAATATTCATCTCGTTGGTTTGTTTAAACAGATGCTAAAGTGGATAAAGTCCAGGAATCCCATTATAGCGTGATTGAAGAATATATAGTTATAACTATGCCATCTCCATTCTCCTGTAGATGGGCTCACTGACGTGATAATGGGAGTCCTCAGGTAGCTGGGACAGCCTCTCCACCTGGTGTTGCCTCCATCAGGCAGATCTTAAGCAAATCATGTCTCATCTTGAGTCTTCAGCTTTCTCATCTGTACGGTGAACACAGCACCTAACAGATGGGAGCGGTTCCATAAGTATCAGATGGCTGAAGGAACAGAGAAAGGGATGAATGGATAAGCAGATGGATGAGAAAATGATGAATGAGTAGTAGACGGTTGGTTGGGGGAATGAATCAATGAGAGGAGGAGTGGCTGCTTGAATGGGGGAATGAATCAATGAGAGGAGGGGTGGCTGCTTGGACTGATGGATGGATGGGTGGGTGGATCAGTGACTCAATGGATGGACTGATGAGGTGGATCAGTCACCTAAAGGATGGGTGGTGGATCATGGAGGGATGGTGGATCATGGATGGGTGCATGGACTGAGAGATGGATGAAAAGTTGAAAGGATGGATGGAGGCTGAACAAATTATTTGCGTCTGATGGTGTTCTGTGATGCTTTGTTCGATTTTCAGACCCCTTTGTGAAAATCCAGCTGGTGCATGGACTCAAGCTTGTGAAAACCAAGAAGACCTCCTTCTTAAGAGGCACAATCGATCCCTTCTACAATGAATCCTTCAGCTTCAAAGTGCCCCAGGAAGAACTGGAAAATGCCAGCCTAGTGTTTACAGGTAGGTGGCGTGCCAGGAGCCCTGGGGGAGGCACGTTGTGGAGACAGAAGGTGGCCTCTAGACAAAGGGCCTCTGGAGAGAGCCTTGTATTTGAGAGCTTCATGGCTGGTGTTCAGCCATCTGGATTTGAATCCAGTGGCCATCTGTGAACTTGGGTGAGAGTCGCAGAACCATGCAACGTAATTGTGACGAATGTGGGCCCTGAAGCCAGATTTCCTGGCACGGCTGTGTAGTAACCGAAGGCAAGTTCTAAACTCACCTGAGCCTCAGTTTCCTTATCTGTCAAATGTGGACAATAATAGTCCTTGTGGCACAGACGTGTTGTAAAGAGGAAATGATCCATGACGTGGGAGCAGTACTTAGCACAGGTAATATTAGTACTTAGCATAGGTAGTATTAGTACTTAGCATAGGAAGTACTCCCTCCGTTAGCTTTGATGACAATGATGCTGATGAGTTACATTGCTTACAGTTAACAAAGAAGCCTGTGAGAAAACAGGGTCGCCTAGGTCGCGGAGGAGGGTGTTGAAAGGCATCCAGGGCTTACGGGATGTAAGCAGCAGCTTCAGGACCACTGGCTCATGGAAGTTAGCCCATCTTCCCAGGCTGTGATTGATTGAACCCGTTATTTCCATGGTGTATCACTTATCTATCGCTGCCCAACAAATCCCTCCAAAATTTAAAAATGCTAGAGACCCCTCCCCAGAGAAATAGGAGTACAGAAGCTTTTTTTTGGGGGGGGGGGACAGGCAGAGTTAGTGAGAGAGAGAGAAAGAGACAGAGAGAAAGGTCTTCCTTGTGTTGGTTCACCCCCCAAGTGGCCACTACAGCCGGCACTGCAACTGCACCGATCCAAAGCCAGGAGCCAGGTGCTTCCTCCTGGCCTCCCATGGGGTGCAGGGCCCAAGCACTTGGGCCATCCTCCACTGCACTCCCAGGCCACAGCAGAGAGCTGGACTGGAAGAGGAGCAACCAGGACAGAATCCGGCACCCCAACCGGGAATAGAACCCAGTGTGCCGGCGCCACAGGCAGAGGATTAGCCAAGTGAGCCATGGCACAGGCCAGAAGCTGTTTTTTTTTAAAGATGTATTTATTTATTTGAAAGTCAAAGTTAAACAGAGAGAGGAGAGGCAGAGAGAGAGAAAGAGAGATAGAGATCTTCCATCCGATGGTTCACTCCCCAATTGGCCACGATGGCCAGAGCTGCGCCAATCCAAAGCCAGGAGCCAGGAGCTTCTTCTGGGTCTCCCACATGGGTGCAGAGGCCCAAGGACTTGGGCCATATTCCACTGCTTTCCCAGGCCATAGCAGAGAGCTGGATTGGAAGTGGAGCAGCTGGGTCTCGAACTGGCACCCATATGGGATGCCAGCACTTCAGGGCAGGGTGTTAACCTGCTGTACCACAGCACCAGCCCCGAGTACAGAAGCTTTTACACATAGTTGGAGGAGACTTTTTGAACCCCTGTGTCCTGTGTGGTCATCCCCCCCCCACCGTAAAATTAAAGCCTCAAACTGGAGGGATCATACCCCAGCCCCGTGCACCTGTTAGCCGAGCGCCCGCACTACAGGTGGACATTGTCAGCCGGGGCTGTTGTCAGCTGCGCCATCAGACAAGGCCTCTGCTGTCCCTGCCTGTGATTCCCTCTGTAGGCTGGGGTTTGAGGCCCCTGGCCACGGGCTCATGCTCCTCAGGGTGAAAACCCAGTGACAATGTTCTTTCTGGGGAAGGAGGCCTCCCTGCCCACTTTGATCAGCGCCCTGCACCCCTGGATGTGCTTTAGAATCTGCTGGGGACCTTAAAAGCCCACCCACGGCCACCCCACACCCCCCAGAGCTCTAACCCAGCTGGAGTCCCACACACGTCTCCGGTCGTCCTTCCTTGTCCAAGGTTTCCCATTCTGTGGTTTCTGTGCCACGTGGTCAGCTGCAGCCCGGAAATCTTAAATGGAAAATTCCAGAAATAAACAGAGCCCTCATTCCCATGACTCGTATTGCACACTATGTTGTTCCAATGCTTATTTTATTGACAAGTATTGTTAATCACTTACTATGCCTGATTTATAAATTAAACTTTATCATAGGTATTTCAGTGCAGGAAAAGCATACAAAAGGCTTGGCACCCTCCATGGTTTCAGGCATCCACCGGGGATCTTGGAATGTATGTCCATGGAAAAGGGAGGACCACTGTGCATATATAAGGTTTATTTATTTATTTGAAAGCCACAGTGACAGAGAACACAGTCCTATCTGCTCATTCTCTCCCAACGGCCACAATAGCCAGAGCGGGGCCCTAGCCAATCCAGAAACTCCATCTGGTCTACCCTGGGGGTAGCAGGGACTCAAGTACTTGGGCCACCACCAGCTGTTTTTCTAGGCACATTAGCAGGGAGCTGACTTGGAAGCTGAGTAGCCAAGACTCAAACCAGCGCTCTGATCTGGGATGCCAGTGTCATAAGTGATGGCTTAACCTGCTGCACCACAGCTGCTGAGTCTGTATATTCTTTTTTTTAAAAAGATTTATTTTATTCTTTTTAAAGATTTATTTGTTAATTTGAAAGTCAGAGTTACACAGAGAAAGGAGAGGCAGAGAGAGAGAGAGAGGTCTTCCATCCACTGGTTCACTCCCTAAATGGCTGAAATGGCCAGAGCTGTGCCGATCCGAAGCCAGGAGCTTCTTCTGGGTCTCCCACATGGGTGCAGGGGCCCAAGCACTTGAGCCATCCTCTACTGCTTTCCCAGGCCACAGCAGGGAGCTGGATCAGAAGTGGAACAGCCAGGACTCGAACCAGTGCCCGTATGGGATGCCGGCACTGCAGGCAATGGCTTTGCCCACTGCGCTACAGTGCCGGCCCCTAAAGATTTATTTTATTTATTTGAAAGGTAGAGTTACAGAGAGGGAGGTAGAGAGAGAGAGAGATCTTCCATCCACTGATTCACTCCCCAAATGGCCACAATGGCCAGAGCTGAGCCGATCCTAAGCCAGGAGCCAGGAGCTTCTTTCAGTTTTCCCACATGGGTGCAGGGGCCCAAAGACTTGGGCCATCTTCCAATGTTTTCCCAGGCCATAAGTTATCAGAGAGCTGAATTGGAAGTAGAGCAGCCAGGATTCGAACCTGCACCCATATAGGATGCTTGCGCCCATATAGGATGCTTGGGGCTTTAACTCACTGTGCCACAGCACCGACCCCTGAGTGTGTATGTTCTTAAAGCACGCCAGGTAATTCTAATGTTCAGTCAGGATTCGGACCGAGAGCTGGGATAAGAAATGTGGATCAAGTCACTGTAGACAAAGCTGCGGTTCTCCTGAATTTGAGTGCGTAAGGTTCTAACTTGTTTTGTTCGTCCGTGGAGGGAAAGAGCCGTCACCTCCAGGCTGAGGCTGCGAAACCCAGCCCATTAGCATGTTTCCAAACACTGCGGATCAACAGTAGGGTTGAGCTGCAATTTAAGCATTTGCCAGAGATCTCCAGTCAAAGCCCGTAATTAGTGGGCGGGGTGGGCCTTCTGAACGGTTCCCTTCCTGTGTGGGATGAGGAGTCTCCTGCCGTTCGCGGTCAGGTGGTGTCTGCAGGATGAAGAGAAGGGGGAAATTGCCTCTCAGCCCCTGAGACAGCGCCACGTGGTCCAGCGGCATTCTGGGAAATTCAGGGAGGTTCTATTGAACCAGTGTCAAGGGGAGGTAACTGGGCTGTCACTGGAAGTAGGGAAGATAAAAAGGGTGGAAGGAAGGAAGGAAATGCAATTTGATGACGATGCTTCAAAAAATAGAAAGTGGAATTACTGTAGGACCCAGCATTTCCGGGGCTCGGGATAGAAAGGGTATTCTGCAAAGAACAGGAAGCAGGACCCATCCTGACAGCTGTATGCTCATGTTCGGAGACGATACAGGTGAGAGGATGGGCGAGTAGATGAAGAACATCAGGTGTGGCTTTTTTAAAATATGGAACTCCTGGGGCCAGCACTGTGGCACAGCGGGTTAACGCCCTGGCCTGAAGTGCAGGTAGCCCATATGGGTGCCGGTTCTAGTCCCAGCTGTCCACTTCCGATCCAGCTCTCTGCTATGGCCAGAGAAAGCAGTGGAAGATGACCCAAGTGCTTGGGCCCCCTGCACCTGTGTGGGAGACCCAGAAGAAGCTCCTGGCTCCTGGCTTTGGATTGGCGCAGCTCCGGCCATTGCAGCCAATTAGGGGATGAACCATCGGATGGAAGACCTCTCTCTCTCTCTGCCTCTACTCTCTCTGTGTAACTTTGACTTTCTTTTTTATTTTTTTGCAATTTTTAAAAATTATATTTGTTTCTAAAAATCCTGTTATCACAAAAGGAATCTTAATTCACTAAATTTTTTGACACAGCATTGCTAATATAATGCATATTTATTGCCGGCGCCGTGGCTCACTAGGCTAATCCTCCGCCTAGCGGCGCCGGTACACCGGGTTCTAGTCCCAGTCGGGGCGCCGGATTCCGTCCCGGTTGCCCCTCTTCCAGGCCAGCCCTCTGCTGTGGCCAGGGAGTGCAGTGGAGGATGGCCCAGGTGCTTGGGCCCTGCACCCCATGGGAGACCAGGAAAAGCACCTGGCTCCTGGTTCCTGCCATCGGATCAGCGCGGTGCGCCGGCCGCAGCGCGCCAGCCGCGGCGGCCATTGGAGGGTGAACCAACGGCAAAGGAAGACCTTTCTCTCTGTCTCTCTCTCTCACTGTCCACTCTGCCTGTCAAAAAAATAAAAAAAATTAAAAAAAAATAATAATGCATATTTATTTTACAACTGGCTAATTTGATGAAGTCACCTATAAAACCTCAGAAGCCTTAAATATTTCTCTCATATTCTTAGGAATATCACCTACAAATACTTGTCTTCATTTTATTGTCTTTTTCTTTTTTTTTTTTTAACTTTTATTTAATGAATATAAATTTCCAAAGTACAGAATATGGATTACAATGGCTTCCCCCCATAACATCCCTCCAACCCGCAACCCTCCCCTTATCCACTCCCTCTCCCCTT